CAACCCTTGTTTCAAGGGTTGCCGTTCTTGCCGTTAAGGCTGTTGCCATGCCGTTCGGGCGCGTCCAGTGCGTCCAGGGCGATGTGCAGAGGATGCAGCGCCGTCGAACCCTGGCAAGATGATTTCACCCATCGACTGGCGGGGCTCGACACCATCATGCAGATGATAGCTGCGAAAGCCGGCCGAGCCGGACGGGCAGACCGCTTTCTCGGCAAACGCGCTGCGGTCCTCCAAGTGCATAGAGTGTGCGCTCGATGCCAATGCGATGCGTCCCTCGTGGGGGGGTTTTCCAAGCAACAACAAATCACCAGATTACAACGGCGCAATTTCTTCTTTCGTATGAGTTGGGCGGCCGCCCGCCTGGCGTCGTAGTCATCATGATTCGTAGAACGAGCTACCGTTGTCCAGACCACGATTCGTCGTTTTGTGCGTAGTTCACGCGTGGATCGTCGCCGCCTCTCATGGGAACTGCGTCAAGTTGCCAACGATCTTGCGCCTCCAGACGAGCAGCCAGCCGCACACGGGTCGCCACGATCGAGCCCCGCCCGCCCCCACCTGATCGAGAAAAGAAGGCCTTGCCCTCTCGAACGTAGTCACGTAATCGGTGGGTTCGGCCCCATCCCGAATTCGACGCGCGATCGAGGCCCAATTAGGGCATGTCCGACCTTGCGGCATCGCCCTGATGGCAGCGCAGGGGGGGGTGTCTCTTTTCAAAGCGAGTTATCCATGATAAGTCAGCAAACACACGTTCAACCCAACCATCTGACAATCAACGTCGACGTGTATCGCGGGGGAAGCGACGTGCCGGTTCTAGATCACTTTTCAACTGGCCAGACGCCCCCCACAACTCCCCGAACGAGCCATGGCCCCGACCGACGCCCCTTTGGATGTCGCCGCCACCTACAACTCGCAACTACGCCAGGCCAACATTATGTCGATGCGGCGCTACTACGCCAAGAACCGCGACAAGGAGCTCCTCCGATTCAAGGCGTATTACCAGAAGAACAAGGACAAAATCCGCGCGTACAAGAAGCGCGCCCGTGAGCAGTCCAAGAGGGCCATCCCACGGCAACCCACCGTCGTCGCCGCAGAGACGGCACCCCAACCGACCACGGTGATGGACATTCGATTCCTTTGCCAAGAGCCGACACACAAGGCGCCCCCGTCGGCGGCTCCGTCCAAGATGAACTTGGCGTTTCTGCTGAATTGAGCCGCCGCCGACCCTACGTAGGATGTCGCTGTGCCCCGTATTTAAGCCCAACCCACTTTCTTCCCTCCGATGTGTGTTTTCACCTGGATGCAGATTGCGTTGGTGGATGGGTGTTGCGTGGTGGTCGTCAGCTCCTCCACAGACCAGCTAGATCACGAGTCGTGGGTTGCCGCAGCTTTGTTTGCCAGACGTGTCGGGACGCCGCTAGCCTCCCTCCATGGCGCGGTCTGCCGCGTTTCCCGCGCAGAGCTCCAACGCGTTCGCTTCCAGCGTGAACACCCCGTTGTATCCATCATTTGAGTCTCCGGCGAGTGTCGCCGTCGTTGGCTGCAGCCCCGACGAGTCGTGAGTAACGCAGAGAACGCGGCCGTGATTGCTTGCATTCCAGCCCTGGCTCGGAATTCTTGACAGAACTTTGCCGGCGGACGACCAGCCCCACGTCGCCGGGCCATCGCTCGATCGAAACGAACGCCGCCAACGCGCATTGGGGTCGCAGAGACACACACGAGTTGGTCGCCCGTCCCCGCTCTCTGCCCTGGCAGCGTGTCCATCCACCTCTTCTTCCCATGGATGCGACAACTTGAAGCGCATTTTTGGTTGACTCGACGTGTTCACCCGTGATTTGTATGTCGTTGTCAAACATGATTCACCGCGTCGATCGACGTTTTGCTTTCCCGCGGCGGCATCCACGTGTCGTTCCTGTCTCTGCGAGCCGTCTGCCGAGAGCGTGCGCACCCACCGAGCCGCGTCGTCCTTGCGCTGATGTGTTTATCCACTGCCGCTACCTTTGTGACAAGCCTCACCCCGACCGTTCAACCATACTACTGGGTAGGCCCACGGCGCGCAGCACATCGACCGCACGGCGGGGCACCATGACACTGTCGCCGCAGCGACGTTGTCCGCGGTGGCTCGGCGCCGTTTGCTTGCCTCTCGGGTGTTTACCCAACGCTGCGTATTCATGAGTGGTCAAGTCAGGGCAAGTCACGAGCCGGTTACATCCGGATATGGTCGAAAAACAAGACACGGGGGCAGTCTGCATTCCGATGTGTGATGGAATTCGGATGATTCGGATAACCAGAAGGTGACGATCTTGGTACGGATCTGAGGAAGCCGGTCAACGCATGGCGATATGTGACCAAACATTGGAAAAGGACTGCTTTCGGACACCGGCATGGGCCCGCTGCGGCGCGCTAGTTGGGCTCGCGGCGGTGCGTGGCAGAGAGGAGCCAGCGAGGGGTTCTTGGCAGCTGTGGCGACTACATCGAAGCGAGTTCCTAATTAGGAACGTTGGTGCAGTCCAAGAAACAAAAATTTGGTGTCTCTGCACCATGGCGAGCGAAACTGGACGGCTCCGTGCGTTCGACGACCGGGCGCCCCTCGCACAGAGAAATCGCGATCAGAACCACCCACCCATTTCCAGTCGAAGTTCGCCCGATCGCCGAGCGAGTGCCACGCCCCCCCCCCTTGTCCAACGGTGCCCCCATCGCTCACGACAATGTACCGGGGTTCGCCTGCCGGCCGAGTGGGAATTCCGCGAGAAACGTATGATGAACCCACTGGCCGTGATTAGGCATCACGTCCCACACTTGCCCCCGCTCGTAGTCGTCATGTGGAGCTGCTATGTCATCCGTCCCAGGAGGCACAACGACAGGGAAATGCCGTCCGGGGGGTCGTGGAAGCACTTTGCACACGCACAAGGTGTTTTCGATCGCAGGCGATCCGACCGACGCATCGCTCGAGCCGTTTTGGCGCCATGCCTCGCCACGTCTCGACCGCGGATGCCACGATGGATGATGCCATGTCGGCCAAACACAGCCACACACGGCAAGCGAGCATCCTGTCCATGCGCCGTTATTACGCCAAGAACCGCGACAAGGAGCTCCAGCGATTCAAAGAATACTACCGGAAGAACAAAGACCGGATCCGCGCGTACAAGAAGCGCGTGCGAGAGCAGACCAAGTGCGACCTCAAGCACCAGCACGACGCCGCGACACACTCGCCAACACGACGGACCAGCCAACTCCTCCACGACATTCTGTCCCCGACACAGCCTCCAACCACGACCCACCGCCACACACCGCCGCCGGCAAGCGCCAAGTTCAACCTGGCGTTCTTACTTAACTAACTCTTAACCAGTACTTGCGCTCACGGAGCGGTCGCACACGATGCGGCTCGCCATTTTTCTAGCGCGAAAAAGCGGGCATCGAATCTTGGCCTGGACGACGCTGCCATCGCAAGACGATGTCGAGGTCTGCACGGTGGACCGACCCGACTCTAGCACACTTGAAGGGACGAGAACGATGAATCGACTGGAATGTTGTCGCCAACACCAGAGGAACGCAGAGCTCGGCGCAGGACAGTCATCGAAGTACCTCCCCTTGACATATAGCGTGTGTGGACCACGGACGCTGGCTTCCGTAGGTAAACTTGCTCGGGACACCGCATGAGCTTGATTTCGTATTGCATTGGCGTAGCGGTTCCCTCCCTCTTCGAAAGCAACTTCGTGCATCGGCGCTCGTGTAGGACTGGATGTTGGGCCGTCACACCGGCAGATGCATCATCGAGGGGGACCCGTCAGTCGTTGAGGCATTGCGTCACTAGTCTCCTGCGTCAAGGGAGGCTGTCGACAGAAATACCCCGCTGGGACATACAGCCTTCGTCATATCCCCCCTTCAAAACCTAGGCGCCTTGGTACCAACCAATTTTGAACGATCGGCAGTATCGAGTGCGTTTGTGTCATAACAGGGGGGTTGCGGCTCCAACACGCCTCAAGCATCCCGTACAAGCCCCTGGTGTTGTCTAGCCGCGCAAAGGGACGGAAATCCCAGAGCCATCCTGACATTTCCCAATACGCCACCTTGGCAAGTCCATGGCATATACCGCACCCATCTCGGCGCCCCACCCACGAGCCGCGTTGTACCGGCGACGAAGCAGCGTTGCAAGTGCTCCTGTGCGCCCGTCGGTGCTGCAATATCGTGCCCGTCACTTTCATTTTAGCCATCGTGACGCCGTTCAGCCTGACGATGGGCATGCATGGTCGACGTGGCGAGAGTCCTACCTCGTTGTCACTGCATCCAATTGCATCTGCGTTCACGTGATACTCTAGGAGCAGGCGAACAGTGTTTCTAGGGAAGCCTTGCGCCTGCAGTCATCGAGGGAATTCCCTCCTCACGTCGCAGGCCAATTGAAGAGGAAAGGGCTGGAGGCACTGGTGTGAAATTCGCACATCTCGGCTCGATGGCCTCGGTTTGGACATCTGAACAATGCTGACAAAGCTGCGATAGATAAAGGCTATGTTTTATCGATATATATAGGTTTAATGTTTTAACCAAAGTTTTAGGTTAAAAACATTAAAACCTCAATTTGAGACAATAAAACCCTAGGTTGTACAGTAAGTGGCATACTGTTCCACTCGCACCCCTACTACAGTACTCTTCGCTGCCCGACGGATCATATTCGGCCTCATCGTGCAGGGCGTGTTCGTAGAACGCTGGCAAGTTGCTTTTGATAAAAATCAGCTTGTTGACGTTCTTCGGGTTCAGGCGGTTCCGGAGCTTCGTAGGAAGCCTATGGTGGAGACGTTCCTCTGAGGCAACAGGCTCGACAAACCCGGCTAGGAGAAAAAGAGTGTTGCGACATATGCGTAGAAAGAATTCTGGGGACTTTCTAAACAGATCGTGGAACACTGCGCGGTCAGGCCGCGGACGCCGCCGGACACAACGACTGCGGTATTACGGGCATCTTAGGTACTAGTGATCCCGCAACGTTTGCACCATGAAAAATAACTTGTTATAAAGTTCTTAGGGCCTTTTGACAAGGCAGCAGTGGAATTGTGTTACCGTGAAGCGTATATAGTTTTAGACATCCTTTTAGTTTCACACCCCAAAAGGTTATTGAATATAGAGTATAAAGGTGTTCTTCTTTTCCTCCCCCCACATAATGCCTCTTATAATACACATTTCCTCTACCATCTAATGAAATATTAATTTATAGAGGGAATTTTCACAGGTTTTCGCTGGATTTTTTGCCGCCAAAAGCATGGTCGGCGCCTTTTGACTCGTCAATCGACAACCATGGCTGACGTCCACGATGAGGTGCCA